ACACACACACACACACACACACACACACACACACACACACCTCAATGTCTTTTTCAACTTTTTCAACCCAATTCTGATCTAACAGCGGTGGAGCAGCTCTAACCTGCCACTGTGCCTGAGGCATGTATCCACAACAAAAAGAAGACCAAAAAAACCCAACATGTGTGCACATATGCAAATATTCAAAGCATTATCACAGAGTTTGCCACAATTTGAATTTGCTTGGAGAGAGATTCTTTTTTCTTTACCCCTCAGCTGTAAAAGGTTGGTGGGGTATTGTTGTCACCCTCCTAGTCGGGAGGTCAGCGTGGACACCCAAGTTTGTGAATGCAATAAATCGTGAACAACGCAGCGTGAGAGTTTCAAATTGATAGCATGGGTGTATCTGCTAAAATATGTGTGTCTAATGTGTGTTTATTAGGAGCTCGCCAGTAATTTAACATTTTAATTTCACATGAGAAAATGACACCTAGCTAATCAGCTAGCCTGAGGCCATTTCAGTGTTGTGTTCTCCTACTGGATATAGTCCTCGATATTATACAGCTTCCTCTCCAGAGATGTAAATATCATCATCAGATGGAGAGTTCAAGTGTGTGTGCAGATGTCCACATGTCTGCCAGTGTTTTTCAGGACCAAACAGACTCGTCTGCAGAGACTTTACATTACAATGAAGCAAGTCCCCAGGCGATGGGCCTCAAGTGGTCTTCAAAGAAGTATAACAGGAATAACTGCTTGGCTGTTTTATCTCCAGCTGGATGTATCCACAACAGAGTATAATCAGGTGGAGAACTGGTTCGTATGGTGCTGCATGAGCTCACCAAGCCTGCAAAGCACAACAAGGACTACTGTCGCCACCTGCAGTCCAACAGCATGGAGTTACAGTTCCTCTGCACGATGAGAAACTCACCGGAGAGTCAGCTGCTTATATTAATCTGTTATCTGTTATTTATTTGTCAAGTAGTTCATTATTAAAGCATTTGCGGGGGAAGCTCTTATAAACGGGGAGTTTTTCCTTCCCACTGTCGCCAAGTGATTGCTCAAAGGGGGTCGTATGATTGTTGGGGTTTTCTCTGTATTATTGTAAGGTCTTTACATTACAATATAAAGGACCTTGAGACCTTATTATGATTTGGCGCTTCATAACTTGAACTATATTATAAGACGGTATTCATAGTTTATACCTAATTTATGGATAAAATGAGTAGAGTTATATTTATTATTTGATTGGGCTCAGGAATGACCCCAATTTTCTGATAAAGAAAAGCAGGAATCAGCCTTAATCAAAATTAAGCTCAATGCAGTATGACCCAAAACGAGTGAATGATTGAGACTCTAGTGACCCTTAAAAAGACGTTTACGTTTCAAAACCTGAAGTGACGTCCATCTTTTATACTCTCTATGATTAGTATTATCACTGAGGCCAGCTTTACTGTTTTTTGTGTCAGTGTTTTTTAATGCAGACAGCATGTGGTTAGCATTGTTGCCTCACAGCAAGAAGGTCCTGAGCTCGAATCCACCAACTGGCCTTTCTGTAAGGAGTTTGCATGTTCTCCCCACGGGTTCTCTCTGAGTACTCCGGCTTCCTCCCACAGTCAAAAGACATGCAGTTAGTGGGTTTAGATTAACCGGTGATTCTAAATTGCCCATAGGCAATTTAGAATCACCGTTTAGGTGTGAATGGTCATCTGTCTCTGTGTTAGCCTTGCGATAGACTGGCAGCCTGTTCAAGGTGTACTTATGACTGCTGGGATAGGCTCAACCCTGATAAGGGGAAGAGGATGGATGGATGTTTTCAATGCTGATGTGAGGCAAAAAGATTTACTTACTGTTTAATTGCAGTATTTTTGTAAGCATTTATCTTGTTTATAGTAAAACCAGCATCATACTTGTGGTTTTACTTTAAAAGTCTTTATTGTCTAACTGGGAGTTTGTTTAGCTTATGTGGAGTGAAAAATGGAGTTTGGATTTAATCCCCTGATTGAGGCATGAACAAGGTCTTAGAGTATTCACTGGATGTTAAATTAGAGCCCCAGATTCTAAAATCTCAGAACAAATCGGACCAAAACCGAAAACCAGTAAACAGTTCGTAGGACTCACCGTCAGAAAATTCAGGCCTGTTGTCTTTTTCTCCTTTCTGTCTGAGACATCTTAGCCAAGGAGTGTGGTTTCTTAAATGAAGAAAATTTAAGTGGTTGCCTCCTGCTCAATGCTCAGGACTGCACGCTGTCATCTCACATTTACAATGGAAGGTTTCTCTTTACAACTGTGGGATAACAACTTAATTCTCTTTAAATAATGGAGTTGTTACACCCTGGTATCTTTTAATAGGAAATAGTTTTTGGGTGCTAGTGTAATGAAAGCATTTTCTATATAAAGCCTCTGATATTCCACAGTGCCAGCATCTGTGTTACATATTTGATTTGATGCTTGGACTCTGGTAGATTCAGTTATTCTTCACATAACGCTGCAAATATATTCATTTTCTAATTACACGAATTAAAAGAAAAAAGAAAGAAACTCTTCACATTTAGAAAGAGAAGAAATGTTTGCTGATTTAATTAAGCCTCGCTGACAATAACTGTTGATTAAATTCTTGTGAAATAGTCTTTCTCATTTCACCACTAACTTTCTGACTATTAGTTTCACTTTTTTAAACTTTCATAAACTGGACTAAAATCTAAAGTAGCTACAAACCTTCCTATAAAGAGATGATAACACTTATATAATGTTGTACAGCGTTTTACTTCGTTTTTAAGCATTTAAACGTTTCATTGTCGCAGGGGGATAATCTCTTTTACAACTTCATACAAAGAGAGCTAAAAAAAGAAAGTAGTCACAGAGATTTCTCAGCAATCTTATGCTAAACTTCTCGCTACAACATTCACCCCAACCCTTGACCTTTGACTTTTCTGCTGAGACAATGTAGTTAACAGGCCCAGTGACACCATAGTTCTCGAAACTGCTTCACCTCTAGCTTGTCATTCTGTCCTTTTCTGATTCATCACGTTGCGAGAGTAAGCTCTGTTTAAATTCCTCTAGGCCATTGAAACCTACAGTATCAACCCCGAGTGAGTGATGTGTTGAAGCAGCTGTCTCAGATATGTGACATGTGGTTAATCATCTGCGGAACGATCTGTGCTTCTTTCAGCGGTGATTGAAAGGGTGGTGCTGAAAGGAGTTCCTCACAAGCCTGAAGACTCCAGCGAGTATAGTTTTGAGGTGGGTACCTTATAAATATGAGTACATGCCGGCATGTATTGTTTGACTCCTAACTTTTTTAGACTTTCTTTAAATATTTTTCCCCCTCATTTCCCTACTCCTTCACTGCCTTCTTCCCATTCCTTTCCTCTCCTCCTCCAGGTTAGCTGGACCAATGGGTTGGTAGTATCTGTTGTAAGAACTCAGCAGGAGGTAGCAGAGCTGCTGACTCAGGTCAGGACCAACATTTCAACACACGAATGAAAATGAGCCCGAGTTGCATTCAGGTTATTGCACAGTAAAACTAATATGTGTCTCAAAGTGAGTAGGAGATAGAGCTGCTTTGTTTGAAATCAAATCAAATCAATCATTACACGATTGGTGTAATTCTAGATTTTATGGTAAAAAATGTTTTATGTTTTCTCATAAAACATGATAAATATCGTATTTTATCATTACAAATCTTTTTGTGATGTTTTTGTGTTTTTGAGGTGCACATTAAACCTTATGAGCCTGACCTTTTCCAACTGTGCCTATAAATTAAGAAATCATCAGCTGCGATTGAACAGTCAGGCATTGCTTGGTATCATCAGCATAGCAGTGTAATGACACAAAGAGCTCTATTTACTTTGTTTTTATAAAAAAAAAATGTTTCTCACTTAGCTGTCACGAGCATTTCCTGATGGAGTGGAGAAGTTCCCGCCTCAGTCCATGGAACTGGATCCCAGGTTAGTCCCAGAACCCCCATCCTTTTGAGGTGGTGTTTTGTTTGTTTCAGGCCGTGTCCACACTAACACATTTTCGTTTGAACACCATTTTCGCGTCACAGTGTAGACTGTGTAAACGGAGGCTTTCGGAAACAGTGATGCATTTTAGTCATATGATGCAGTCATGTGACCAATCAAACAAAGATAGCGGAGGGCATTATACAACAGTTGTTTTGTTTGCTCTCAGTTTTGACAGCGCTATTAAAGATTAATATCAGTCTGTACATGCTCCAGATAGCTTTTCTTCAAATTCTTTAATTCTCACTCGCTTTTGCAACTTTGTACTTGCAAAGTTACTCGCAGCAACAACTCCACCTCATTGTCAGTCCATTTAAAGAACTCTGTGCTTTTCCTCGACATTTTGCGGCAGAGAGAAATGACACAGGTCGAATCGTCTTACGTTTCACGCATGCACAATACAGGAACGTAAGCGTTTTCAGTCGTGTCAGTGTGGATGAACAACTGTTCGAAAACGATAGTGTGGACGCGGAGCGTTTTTAGACAAGAACGCCGTTTTCAAATTTATCAGGATTAGTGTAGACGTAGCCTCAGCTTACAGTCTGTGAGAAAAAGTGTGACAATTCATATCAGCTTCAGAAGTTACAGTGAGTAATTTCACACTTTAGTGTAATCCAGCTGTTTAAAAGACCTTCAGAAGCCTGGAGAGCTATTGCCCAAGACTGCTTAAAATACAATTACAAGAAAGCTTGGCTCCTTGGAAGCAAGATATAAAGAAATGAGGGTTAGCTCAAGACTTTTGCACAGTATCTTACTTTGGTTAGCAAAGCTACTCGTGTTAAATTAACCTTAATGTTATTAGAAGTACTCTTACAGTATAATCCATCACTATGCTAGCCTAAACAAGTCTTGTGTGAAGCATTGCTATGTAAACTCTAGTTTTCCCAATTCACATAAAATACTGGCAGCACTTCAGGATGTTAACATATTGTTAATAGATGATAAGCGAACGTCTAAACATATCAACTTGAAATCCTTGTACAGATCCAAATGTTTTGCATTCTGGCTTTTTATTGTCTACAAAAACATAAACAATCTCCTGACATGGCTCAGTGCCTTTTTAAAACTCAGTCTATTGTTGCACCTGCGCTTGAAAGGCCCATCAAGTTATAAAGTTTTGTCCTCTGCTTGTTCTTCGTCTCACTCTTTCCTGGCAAAACTGCTTTAAAGGCACCCTGTGGCTTTTTCTTATAAACAGACCAGAGATACGTTTAGATTAGAAATGTTAGGTCTGTCTGTACAAATATAGATTTTATGTTAAAGTTTCTTCCTATTGCAGTTAGATATATGCGTTTGTTTAAATCTGACAGCAGAGCATCTATTCCTTTAGTTTTTAATCTACTTCCCACTTCATTTCCTTTTCTTTCTGTTGTCCCACTCAGGTGTCTAACAGCCCTGCCCTGCCATGTCCTCCAGCACCAAAGTATCCAGCTGTTCTTTACCTCCACCAGGCCTCTCTCACCCAACTGTCCCTCCTCACCCCTCTCCTCCCCACTTGCATCCTCACTACCAACCTCTCCTATAGCTCCATCCTGCCCGTTCACCTCCAGCTCCAGTAAGTCATTATTTCATTGCAAAAAAATTATAGCAAGCAACAGAGATATAAAGGAGGAGACATTCTTATTCATAGACGATGATGAAAGATCAAAGGCAAGAACAGCAAGATAAAAGATATTATGCCTGTGTTCGGTTTTTGGGGATGAGAAAGGAATGAGAGGTAATGGAAAGGACAAGGCTGCAAGTCTGAGCCCTGGTTGGTTGTAGTGAGGAGGTGAGACTGCAGGCAGGATTTTCAGTGTGTGTCTCTGAGGTGTTGGAGGGCGCGGACGCAGTCTATTTTAGTCCGGTGTGGGAATTCAGCATGGCATGTTTGTGTTGGGAAGCCTAGAGTGTGGTGACCTCATGTTGCTGTGTGTGTGAGTGCTCGATCTATTAGTGTGACTTCATCCCAGAGGGTATTTATAGCCACCAGTGCAGTGTGGTTGTACTTTGTGCATGTGTTTATTCCTCTGTGAGTGGGTATCAGACTCACAGGAGAAGCAAGGCTAAAATGAATGTGTCCGGTTTTGCTCCACAAACACACCCATCAGTGAATTCTGCACAGACTGCAACAGTTGGAATTGGCTATAAGGACATGTTTTCACAGCGTTTCTAACATTTTGCCTACATATATATATTTAGTCCATTCAGGTGCAATCAGAAATGTACCTACACTCGTCATGGGCATGAATGTTACGGCTTTTAATGATTCCTTTGAACTGTTCTGCTATGGTGGGATGATTGTACAGCATACATCTTTAAAAAAACTGTTTGAATTGATTCTGTATTTTTCTCTAATACACAGGCTCAAATATATACATACACTTGTATTTGCTTAAATATCCTTTGTCAAGTTGCACCTTGACCTTTGGTAGTCATCAGCAAGCTTCTGGTATTATTCTGGCTGGACATTTGAATATTTTCTTGGTAGAATTGGTTTGAGAGGTTTGATGTTCACCTGCTTGATCCATTCCAAAACCAGTCTCGGTGAGTGTTTGGGATTAGTGTCCTATTCGAACACCCACTTGTGTCCAAATTGCAGTTGTTTTGCTGTTGAGAATTTGGAGGAGGCGCTCCATTATTCCATCCACTTTGTCCCAGTGTCACTGGCAAAACAGCCTCATAGCATGATGCTACCACCGCCATGCTTTTAAATAATGTTCTTAGGTTTATAAGTCTTACTTTTACTCCTTTAAACATACTTCATCATTGTGAGATTTGCCTTTTTTTTACTAAATTCAGTGAGTCATTTTAACTCAGCTTTATCATTATGGCTGTTTGTGCATATAATACTGATTGTTCTCATCGTTCTCTAATTTTATTTTATTTTATTGACCTGCATATCCGCTAGCTCTTATTTAAGATATTTGTTGTATCTTATGCTTAATATTTTTTCTGCTGTAACAAGTGAATATAACTATTTTGGGATAAATAAAATAAATCTTATATATTTACTACTTAAATGTTCGCCCAGTTGACTGACATTTCAGATTTTTGTGGACTGTTAGCCTCGTGTTGTGTGACTGTCGCCTGATGGTGATGATGGTTTTTATTGTGAATCTGTTGCACAGATCTTGGCTGTATGATGCAGTACAAAGGAGGTAACAGGTACGAGTTTTGCCCCTCTTTGACCTCGTTGCATTAAAACACATCTACATGTACAGTCTTAGAAGTGCACTTGTACCAACGTCGCTCATTGGCTCTTGCTGTCTCTCAGGGTGGTGTACAGAGTGGCCAGCGTCCAGCCCGTCATCAGCACCCACAACTCCATCTTGACTCGCTCCACTCCTCACTTGTCCTCCCTTTCCTCCCCTCCTCTTCCGACTCCGGCTCTCCTACCTTCCATTCCTCCTCCCCAGCACTCCCCACAGCTCTCCTCTCTCCCTCCCCCCGTGCCAGCCCTGCCAGCACGTGGCTCTTCAGGCAGCGGGGGCGACAGCTCCTCCCAACCGCATCCTCAGCATGGTCAGCTTCATTTATACCCACAGCCCTCCCAGCACCACCTTCATGCACAAACCAGCAGCCAGCCCAGTACGCAGCCTCAGACTCTGCACCTGTCCCATTCCCAACCATCGTCCCATTCACATTCACAGTCCCGCTCCCAGTCCCATAATCAATCGCTCTCCCAGTCTCAGCCCAATACGCCAGAGCAGAACGGCATCCTGGACTGGCTCCGCAGGCTCCGCCTCCATAAGTATTACCCCGTCTTCAAACAGCTCACCATGGAGGAGGTGGGTACATCTTTAGATTACATCACGTTGTGTGTATAAAACGTCGTACTCCTGTGCATGTATAATGTATTTGCACATTTCTTGATCAACATTTTGATTCTTTGAAAGCTTCTGAATTTGTTCCTCTGTATAAATTGCAGTTTTTAGCTCTGACAGAGGAGGACCTGAACAAGTACGACCTCACCCAAGGAGCAAAGAAGAAACTGAAGACCCAACTAGAACTCCAAAAGTCTGCAGAGTAAGGGCAGATAACAAAAATTCAGTTTTTTTGTCTTTAAAAAAAAAAAAGAAAGAAAGAAAATATTTGAGAAGTCACTCAGATTTGTCACAAACTTGTCTCTCTACCATCTCCAATATTAGTATACAGACCGAAGTTGGTTTATGTGCTTGTGGCACTGATAGTTTTGATTCTTCAGTTCAGTTGTTTTCCAAAATCACCTCTTTGACTTGACTGATGCCTTACCCTGTTTAACAACTGGCAAACAGACTGACCCGCTGCTGCTCTCCCCGGTAAACATCCTGCACCAATGGTCCATACAGCATCAATGGTTAACCAGCTGAGGATGGGCCGGAGAGATAAGATGTGTTTTACGTGCAGAAGCACAAAAACACAGGCTCTGATTTAAGTACACAAGCATCTGAACTTGCGCACCCCGGATGCACACGCACACCTGAGCGTGAACTTGTTTTCTCTCAGCTGTGTTTCCATTCCCAGAATCAACAGGTTCCCATTAGGCAGGCGATTTGTGTATTTGCGTGTGTACGTGCTTGAACAAGACTCAGAAAATGGAAAAGTTCCTGTGGTGATTTTCCAAAGAGATAGTTGTGTTTGTAGAGGTGCAGCTGAGACCCGAGGAGCACGTTAAGTGGGTAATGTCTCCCCCATGTGGTCAGTAAAAGACACTAGTTGTTTTTGTAGCACAGAAATTGCCTGCAGTTCAGCTGGGCACAGCAGGGGGCGCTTGTGAGATAGTCCTTAATAAATAGGAGTGAATGAAGATCTATGATTAAAATAAGTGCACCTGCTTCTAGACAAAAATATTCAGCTTTTATTTTTGTTTTGTCGAATAGAGCACAGATAACAGAATTTAAGCTGGAGTCCTTTATATTTTCTTTCAGTGAAGCTTAGTTAAACAACAGCTGAAACTTGTGTGTAAGAAGCAGCTAGCTGGGCTATCAGGAAGTTGCTGCTCTCTTCTGTTCATGGCTGAAATACTGATTCAAGATGCACACAAGTGGCTCAAGTTGCTAGGATGTCCCTAATGCTCACAGAGAGAATATTACATTTTTGGTGTGGGAACATGATGGAAAGAATTTCTGGTCAAAAAGAGCTATCTAAAAGAAGTACACATGGGAAGCTGCATGTTTCCTTTGTTTAAGGATCTCAGAAAATACTTCACTTAGTCCACTTATGATGGCACAGAGCCAATGAGTCAGTCGGCTTTAGGTTTCGACCTCTCTGCACATGGCTGCTGGTTTCCTCAACTGAGTCTTGTTAGACTGTTACCGCCTGGGTGTCTAGTTAGCCACCGTATGTGTCTGTTTCATTGACCTTTAATAAACACAGTATAGTACATACTTATCTTAAGTATTCGCTACACTTGATAAAGACTGTGTTTCTGACTCGAATGCTTGCGTGTTCCCAGCAGGGAGATGAAGATGGAGAAGCGGCCGTGCGGTGGCATTGCCAGGGTGATGCCTTCCAGTCACATGGGACCCTCAGCTCACTCCACCTCCAGTGCAGGTAAGAGAGCAGGGTTGTTTCCAAGTATGGCCAAATCACTCTCAGGCTTCAGATTGCTTTAAATGTTTCCCTTTTGCGTCTTTATGATGTCATAGTGAGGGAGTGTAATAATATGGTCATCACGAGCTGCCGACCTGCTCTTCTCTCCAAGAAAATTTGGTTTCAAATTCAAATCGGTTTCATAAACGTGCTCCAGAACTATGAGGTTCCATTAGACATGTACTAGATATAGATAATGAAGCAGACTCACTTCACTGGACCCAGGAAGGATTACAACAGTTCAGAACTGAACTGTATTCAAATGTTTTGCAGGAGAACTGCGAGTGGAGGTGGACGCCGTGCCGCACCACCACCCTGTCTCCACAGACAGCAGCTCGTCCTCGGGCTACTCCAGCTCTTCCTGCTCCCCTCGCACCCCACACAGTTGCGACTCCACCTTTGACAGGACCAGAGACATTCACAGACGTACGTTTTTATCTCACGACTGCAGAAATTATTCAAACCGCGTCAGCACGATTTACGAAGAACAATTCTTAAAGTCTAGATTGACGTTAAGGAGAAGCAGGTCAACAAAATTAGAAATAGAAGTTGGTTAAAACGATAAGATCAATGACGCAAAACTAGAGACTTTTGCTTTTTCCATACCGTTTATATCCAAATATATATGCAAATGTTATATAAACACAAATCTCTTTCAGGTGTGTTGGCTCCAGATACAGCAGGAAGTGGTCCAGAGAAGGATCGGCCCTGCATGTTCATTCTGAACTCGACAGGCTCCAGTCGCCCCACAGCCCAGGTTCTGCCCGTCCAAACCGATCCAGCTCCTCCTCTTCCTCCCACATGCTCCTCCCACCTCCCCTTCGGCCTCCCGCAATCTGCTTATCATCCACAGGGCGGTTACCCACAGACGCTGCTCTCCCCGGTCTCAAACCCAGCACGCATCCTCACCTCCCCTCGCAAGCCCAGGCCCCCTCCGCTGGCCACAGAGGACCGGACTAAGCCGTTGGGCTCGAGCCTTCCTGTGGCCGGTGCAAGCTTCAGTTCAGGGCTCGGGGTGGGGGCTGGGGTGGGGGTAAGACGGGAAAACCTGTTCTCCAGGGTCAACATGGATGGCTCGTCTGGACTCCAGGACTCTGTGGTTTGTCGTGGTCTTGCGGGAGGTGGTGTTAGTCTGATGGTAGAAACCAGCTGCGCTCTGACCTCCACCTCCAACAGCCACCACCACGTTTCCCACCCCCCTGTCCACTTCCACCTCTCATCCTCTTCCTCCCCTTCTCCATCTGGATTTTACTCTTACCCCCCTGTATCCTCATCCTCCTTCGCGTCTTTCTCCGCTTCCTCCTCCTGCACCTCCTCAAAATCCACCTCTCAGACTGGCAGCTCCAGTGGTGGAGGTAGCTATGTTCCCATGGCAACAGCAAGCACAGTTCCTGTGGCTGCAGTCCCGGGCAACACTTACTACCCACCCCAGCATACCTCCAGCCCCTCTCCTTCGCCCTCCTCTGCTTCTTCATTGGATCAAAGTTCTGGTCACAGTCCTTCCGTATGTGTTTGCAGTTCTTGCGGTTGTCGAGGGAACTGCGGCGCCTACGGGGCGTTCCCTGGATACGCCGCAGCCAGCTACCTGCAGCCGTTCTCAGCCGGGCCCTCACTCTTCACCCTGGGTCCTCTGCTCCATCTCAGCCCCCTGATAGCGTCGTCTAGCAACGCCGGCACAGGCGCTGCACCATTCTCCTACCCAATGATGGTACCGCCGCCCCTCTACCGCCACAGCCCGCTGTCACATGACCAGCAGCAGGGGTTCAGCTTTTACCAGCCCCATGGCATCATGGGAAACGGTGGGCAAAAAAGGGCATCTGGGAACCTGTCATGTTATAACTGCGGTGCCCACGGACACAGAGCCGAGGACTGCAAACAGCCACCCATGGATGCGACACAGCAAGGTGAGTCAGTGAGTACGGAGTGTGAAAAATACCAGATTTAAGATGTGATATACATTTATAAATGCAATTGGCTTTAAGGACAGTACATTTGAGAATATAATAACTGATATTTCTACTTCATTTTGTATTTAAATATAAAATGTTTGTTTCTAACAAATTTTACTTCAGTTTTCAGTCGTTTTCTTCACACGATTTAGCAAACTGTGCCCAAATGTACAAAAGTATAACAATTATGCAGGAATTAAAATGGTGAATTTGTAAGATGAATTATAGGTATTACAAAATTTAATTTGAATGTGTAATTGGATTAACTGAAATGATGATGTGTAATATACAAAAGTAAAACTTGACCTGTTTAGTGAGATGGAGTTCTTTATTTCAGTATAATTTAATATTTCAAAACAGATTTTGATGTTACTAAAAATTTAAATCTGTTTTGAATAAATTTCTCATTCATTACTTAAAATTTTAAGAGTCTAAAAACATATTTGTGACTTCATTTACATATTTTACCCACTTCCTTCATAATGTCATGTGTCCGTTATATAATTTTGAACCCTTTGGGATGCCATAGATTGGGACATCTCCAAGGCATCACTTTAACAACTCTGCTGTGTTTCTCAGGGACATTTCGCTTGAAGTACACACCTCACTCTGACAGCAAGGACTCAGGAGACTAAGCAGCAGAGGCGGCTTTGGATTTGAACTCCAGACTAAACTGTACCTCGTGGTCCTGCTGAAGCCAACAAAAAAACCCCAAAAGGGACAGGAGACAAACAGCCTGCTCCTTTAGTGCAGAGGGTTCACTGTTAGTCTGTTCAAAGACTGAGTTGAATCATTGGTATTCGTTCGTTCGTTCTTTCTTTTCTTTTCTTTTATTTCTTTTTTAAGCCAAAGCTTGCAAAGAGATTAGAGGAGGAGGAAGAAGATTTTAGGCACAAGTAAAAGTGGACATTTATAAACTCTACCATGCTTTATCTCAGAGATGTAGCTCAAAGTCTTCCTCAGAGAAAACACTACAGACCGACAATCAGTCACATGATCTGAAAAGAAGCTTCCCAGTCAAATGATGGGGCATTCACCATGACAACCACAGCACTCCAGATGTGGTCTTCCAGAATACGCAGCCTCTTGCTCTAATCAAGTACCAGTGCTATCCCTCCTTTCACAGGATCTACTGGTGCACAACATCTCACAGTACCACAGCTAATCGTTTGAGTGTTGGCTCGTTGCTTCTCATGGTTGGCATGTCCACACAAAGATTCCACTTTAATCTACTATTTCTAAAACTGGCACTGTATGTTCAGGTGGTCGAAAGTTCCAAAGTTAATCCTGACCAAATCCTGAGTCACAGTATTCACATATTCACCTGGATTTAAGCTCTGTTTGATTTCAAAACAGCCTCAACCTACCAGTTACATATTCAGAGGTTTATTCATTTGCTTTGCTTCTGGTTATCAACAAGCAGGAGTCAAATGTCTGGTTTGGTGCTTTACATCTCGTGCACCAGCCTTTATACAGGTGTGCACAGAGCTGTCGGCCACATTTAAACAGCAACACCGTATTTAAATGTGCTAACAGTTGAATGAATGAATTCTAACTGTCACACAGACTGCATGAACTGGAAACCACCTTCAGCAACTGGAGATCTAAGAGGAAAACTGGTGTCTGTTGTGCATCTTCAGCCCGAGTCTGTATGTAAAGATGGAAAATCTGATGGTTGATGTAATGTGCAACCAAAGTAACAACCAGGGGATGAACATGTGGTATTGAGTGCATGCCTTTTTCTCAGCACTGCTGGCTAAACATTATCACACAGCACTTCATCCAAGACTACCAAAATAGTTTCTTTGAAGCGTATTGTATCACGGTGATGTTTGAGTGTTCATTTTTCCATTTGCTCAGTTTGTTTTGATTTTTTAATTAGTTTCTGAGCCACCTGTTGGCCACTGTTCAGGAAATGTACACAGGAACTTTCTGGACGAATCTTCTAACACATCTTGAGGGACTTTGGCATTTTTTTCAGGAAGTTAAGTTTGTGTTAAATGGGTGATTCGAATGGTAAGCAAACGACCCAACCAGTGTAGAAGACGGGCAGTTCAGATTCTGCTGCAGTAAAGTTGCACAATGGAGGTGGTGGTTGCTGGGCTACGTCAGAGCAGATCTAGAGGGAACAGCTTCACTTCCTGCAAACCCAGGGGAGCTAAATAGGTAAAATAATTATTTTCACCTGCTTCTATACAAAGAAGAACATGCTTTATTTTAGTTTTCACAAATGCAGCATTAATATTATGTCTGATTGAAGTAAACTGCCAGTTATGTCCTCTAGTTTTTTGTTTGTTCGTTTTTTACAACGCTGTTGTTTTTACCCATAAAATGCTAGCACTCTGCTAATGCATGCTGATTGGTTGACTGAGGACTCTCCTAAAAGAAAGTGTTGCTAAATAACTTCTTCTCCACTGCTGGCTTGCCTTAAATCAAAATGATGAACGCCAAAAAGTGTCTCAAAGTGCCGAGACCTTCCTAATGGGGGAGAAAGGGATTTTACTAATAATTAAACCCATATATACAAAACAGAAAATGGAACGATATCTAAGGTTTCAAACTGTTTTATGAAAAACATGGTGGAAACATGTTTACCCCTCATATGTAACATTTTTGGGTCTGTAGGCTGCTGTGAATTCTGGACTGCCTGGAAAGCATCTTCTTTCTTCTAGTTGCTTGATGTTTAAGAGCACTGTGCTTAGACCTCAATACCATGTCTCCACCCTTGATGGGTACTGCACAGACTCTGGTTGCAGATAACATCACCATCAATCAAATTCCATGTTAGTTGGGCTTTTATGCAGTGGCATGCATTGGGGACCTGTCAGCCATTTTTATTCACTTCTTGGCGATCTGCAGCCTTTCTACCTCTGAGCATGCCAGAGGGCGAAATGACCCTCTGTGCACAAATGCAGCAACGACAATCAGAAAATATCATGTGGTTTACATCAGGACGAACATTCAAAGTGCCAATTTTCTCTTTTCATAATTGTGGTGTAAGCGGGAGTTGTTCTTTTGTACTTTGTTTGTACAGGTCTAAGTATGTCGAGCATGTTGGAATTTTAAGAAAGCAATAGGAAGTGCTTCTGTGTTCGGGTCTTTGACCCGGTGGGGTTGGGCGGGTGGGAAGCTGCTGAGCTGGACCCAGAGCTGCACAGACACAAGGACAGCTGGTCCTTCAGATGAAACTCTCTTTGTACCCCTGGAGGGCACAGCACAGGGATGTGTGGGGTGTTTATTTAAAATAAGAAATCCGAACATTAAGTATGTACGCCTTTGTTTGAGGTATCGGCAATTCGCTTTCATAATGTAAAATAAATTGTTCTGTGTTTTATTCCATTAGTTACATAGATGAGGGAAATTTCTTTATATTGCTAGTTTATCCTGTCATTGTTTTATATAGATTATACCAAAGAACAGAGATGGTTTGTAGACAGAAAAAGTTCCACTTTTGTAGGTTTTACTTACTCTTTAAGGATGTTGGTAACTTGATGCATGCATGTTCCAAAATCTTTGTTTAAATATGCTTTTAAAATATTTGTGTGTTTTGAAAGTTTGGACTTAATTACCCAGGTCTTTGTTGGTAAGATTTTTTTATGGCTTAAAATTAAATAATTTTGGATTCTCCCTTTTATCACAGTGCCTGTGTGGCTTATTTATTATGGGACCGGCTGCTCCGAGGATCCTTAAAAGGTTGAAGGTGAATGTTTATGTACAATACAATGTGTAAAAAAAAAACAAACAAAACAAAAGGCGGAGCCTCAAGCTGAAAGTTTTTGTTGCCGTCATTTTAGCTTTTCGAAACATGACGATGACACAGTGGACACGCTCCACGGTAATTGGCTAAGCGACTGTCAAAGACATGCATCGGCATTTATATGCAGTCAAAGGTATGAGTCACTTTCACATCTTTTTTCCATTGTCCTCTGAATATCTGCACTGGCTGTTTTTTGTTTGTTTGGGGTTTTTTTTTTTTGGCAGTATTTAGTATTGTCTGTTCCTTGTTTTATCAGGAAGTACAAAATCTTGTTTTTCTAGTTATTTGAAGGATTTACCTAAGCTGAATAACCAGATCCTAACTCTTCACTACTTCAGTAACACTGAGGAACATTAAGAGCCAGTTTTGACCAGAATATGTCCTTCAAGGCACATATTATACAAATATGCAGGACTGCTTTCTTCCATTTGTGGAATATCTGTAAAAATTGGAAACATCCCGTCTCAGAGTGATGCTAAAAAGCTAGTTTATGCAGTTATTACTTCTAGGCTGAATTACTTTTATGCAGTTATTATCAGGATGTCCTAAAAACTCCCTGAAAGGCCTTCAGTTGATCCAAAATGCTGCAGCAAGAGTCCTGACAGGGACTAGAAAGAGAGGGCATACTTCTTCATTGGCTCCCCGTTAAATCCAAAATCAAATATAAAATGCCTCTCTTCACATACAAGGTCTTAAATAATCAGGCCCCATCTTATCTCGTAATATTGTATCACTATATTAGGGCACTTTACTCTAAGGCTTTAGGCTTATTTGTGGTTCCTATTTGTGGTATTTAAAAGTAGAATTCTCTAAGCTGCCTAACATTTGGCATTTTTGCTGTTACTGCTATGACCCTGTCTGCTCTGGTTCAATCTAATTGATTTTCAGTGTAAAGAACTCAGAAGAGGGTTGCCCTTCAGCATTAAAACAAGCAACAGACAAGGTGATTAGTCAGTCGGGCAATCACGTATTTTATGTGCATCTTTTATACAAATCGGTGATCAGCTGTTGGACATGTAAGCACAGACGTCATTATATGGCATTCTATTGTTTAAACTACAGCATCACCTTTTAATGCTGTCCTTTCACATATGTAGCAGTAATGAAGTCAATTTAGGGTGTAATGGTCAGGAAAACAAAACAAAACACAGGAACCTTTTTCCCCTCCTTTTATTGTTTACAAAATACCAACATAAATACATAAAGGAGGCTGTGTGATATTGCTGTATGTGGATGTGTGTGAAACAGAGGAGCAGGCGGAAAGGACAATGCACACACACACACACAAATGCTCCACCCCTCTGTTACAAACACACAGTAGCTTAAACTATTTGTACTGCAGACAGCGAATAGTCGCAACACATCGTACAGTCAAAAAAAACAAAGCCTATTAAATAAAGGAACCAAAAAGATAAAAATACTGTGATATAAAGCAGCTAAAACTCAAATCTGTGAAAGAGTGCCGCCCTTTAAAAACCTACTGGGCAGGTGTAAATTCCTAAATTCCCCTGTAGTGACAGTGCTTGTTGTAATTCAGTGAAGTGAAACTGAACAGCAGTGACAGCTCTGGGAAAAATCAGCCCTGTGGGTTAAAGGGAGAGAAAAAAAACCCCACAGCCAGACACGATGTTCGTGAACCTGCCTGTGTTTTGCTCTCTCCAATCATCGTTTCTGCAAAAAAAAATAAAATATGAATTTAAAAAAAAAAAGAGGAAAAAAAGGATGAGGACATGGCAAACTCCTCCCCTGTTCTGCATTTTTTTTTCCTTCCAGCAACACCATCAATCCTCCAGTCACTCGTGCAATCAGACCACGCTCCTTATAGTGTGTCCAAAAATCAACTTGGTTACACTCACATCGGAACCCCTTTTATATTCA